CAAAAAAGAATCCAAAAACGTAACAAAAACTTTAATATCAACACGTAATCACAAGTAAATTTATTAAACAAAACGATTGAACTGTCGCTCGCGCACGCGTGTACAAAATCAACACGGAACTGTCTCAAAAACTAAAACGAACGAACCCCGTCAAGGCTGAAACCTACTGCGTCACAAGCGTGAGGCGACAGGGTTAGGCATTCTGCCGTCATAATAAAAAAGGAAGTAACTAACAAAAACGTAAAATGGAAATAAAAAATAAATTGATGAATTTTTCTTTCAGACCCCGTGTCTAAAGTATATTAAAAGGTAACTATATTGAAATATATACGTAGAGACATGAAGATTTTAAGGACGAACTTATTTTTTTTTAAATTTGTTTATTTATTTAAATAAAACGAATTTTCCTTTTCATCTTAGATTAAAAAAGTACACCTGGCAACACAAAAACATCGAAGGAAAGACGAATATTATTTGGCTCTTCCCAACCTAATAAATAAAACAAAACTACCATTCATTTAACATTTTTACATATTTTGGAAAGGTCATTTGAAGTTGAAAGGACGCTAATAGTAATTTACTACTTTTTCTTAGTAAATATTAGAAAAGCATTGGTAGTGAGACACAAAAAATAACAACCCGCAACTCTTGAGTAATGATTTTAAAGGGGATATCATACAAGACTTACTACGATAATAATTAAAAATTAAAACATTTGTACAATCGACTTTAATATAAATAATTAAGGATAACTCAAAAACTATTGGTCTGACCTCGATCAAATTTATATGGGACCACATGTGAAACACCAGCTCTTAATAATAAGATATGAGCTCTTAATAATAAGATATAAAATAATAAGACAAGAATAATTTAAATTTAAGTAATCGATGCAAATATTGTTAAGGATGACGTAGCAACTGGTTAAATAAGTCTTTTCTTTTATGTTGAATTTGTATAAGTCTTTTCTACTAATAAAATGTCATCTGTGATCAACAGCTACGTCTAAAATTCTGACGATAATTTCTAAAATATTGATATTAGTGAATATTAAAAAAATTTAGTAGATGCGTCTTCTTATCATGAGTCGAATGGTAATTTATTCGAAAATTGTTAGATGCGCCCTTTTTTCTTATGACCGCAGCATTGTTTCATACCGAGCTAGATACAGGTCGACAGCGGAGTGAGTGTGGGTACAGTCGCGTTCTGAAGTACTACATGGTATTGGGCTATTGTTTTATAATATTATAGTAATTAATTGTTTTATTGTAGAATCATAATAGGTGTTTTACTAGCTACTTAGAACTTTGGAAGAGGTGGGAATTAAAAATAGATAATGTTTACTTCAACACTTCGATATACCGACAGTCAACTTGGCATCGCTGAAGGGACTGCAGCACCGCCCAAATTTCGACGGAATCAAAGGCTTTCTCATAGTCCACATACGCCAGACACAGTGGCAAATTGTACTCCTCGGACTTCTGTACAATTTGCCGAAGGGTATGTATGTGGTCTATGGTGCTAAAGCCTTTTCGGAAACCGGCTTGTTCGGGAGGCTGGAAGTCGTCAAGTCTGCGCGCGAGACGATTCGTAATGACTCTCGAAAACAGCACGTAGACGCGGCTCAGAAGGGAAATCGTTATGTAGTTCTTCAAGAAAGCGTTGTCGCCTTTCTTGAAGAACAAGACCACCGCACTTCTGCTCCACGCCTCCGGTGTAATGCCACCATGGAGGACGGAATTAAAGAGCTTCTGAAGGACTTCAAGTACCGGTTTTCCACCCGCTTTCAGAAGCTCCGCTGTAATTCCATCCTCGCCTGGGGCCTTGCCGTTTTTAAGGTGCTGGAGAGCCATTCTAATCTCGCTCAGACTGACGTCCGGGATATCATCGGAATAATGTCGGATAAGACTCGCTCTTGGATCGTTACTCACACTTGCGTGCGCCTCATCATGGTACAGCTGCCCATAGAACCTCTCAATCTCACTCAAAATCTCAGGTGCCCCGGAAACGATGCTGCCACATTCTGTCTTCAGCTTTGACAGTTGGCGCTTTCTGGCAGACAGATCTCTGGCAAAGACTTTGGAGCCTTGGTTCCGCTCGATCGCTTCTTCAATACGAGCTGTATTGAAGTTGCGTAAGTCCCACCGCATGCATTTGGAGATGTGTCTGTTCAGTTGCCTGTATGCTGTTAAATCTGTTGAAGAATGTAGCTTCATCTCCCGTCTAACAGCCATGAGATTAAGAGTGTGATCGGAGAGTTTTTGTGTTCTTCTGCGGCGGGTCTTGCAGAACTTAGCTCCGACCGCATGGACAGTTTCCACGAGCTTGTCATTCAAATCGTCCACTTCATTGCAGTCTTCTAGGCACTGAAAACGGTTTTGTAACTCGAGCTGAAAGGTTTCGGGACTTTGGATTAGAGCACGAGGGGGACGGAGCGTTGACTTCATTAGACGAGACCTCTCCAACTCAACGTTTAGGTTCAGTGTGCCTCTAACCATTCGGTGATCGCTGCCGGTTTTCACCCTCGCGATCACTGAGACTTCACTGAACAGTTGTCGTCTGGTCGTCATAATGAAGTCAATCTCATTTTTTGTCGAACCGTCGGGGCTCGACCAGGTCCACTTCCTGTGGGGCCGCTTCTGGAAGAAAGAGTTCATCATAAAGAGTCCCTCTTTCTCTATGAAGTCAGCCAACTGCTGGCCCCTTGGGTTCCGTTGCCCTATTCCAAATTTCCCTACTTTCAGCTCACCGTTCTCTCTTGTGCCTAGTTTTGCATTGAAGTCTCCCATTAACACCGTATATTGGGTTTTGGAGAAATGCATGGCTCTAGAGATATCCTCATACATTTCCTCCACCTCCTGATCGGGGTGTGCCGAGGTTGGTGCGTAAACCTGTATGACCTTCAGCGAATACCGTTTGGTGATTCTGAGTATAAGGTACACAACCCTCGTCGACACACTCTCAATCTTTACAACGTTGTTAACGAGAGACTTGTGGACGATAAATCCGACACCTCCTTGGGACAGATGGTCGCCCTCCCGGTAATAGAGCAAGTTGCCGGATTCGAGGATTACCGTGTCCTCCCCCTCTCTTCGGACTTCGGATAATCCTATAATATGCCTGGGCTACGATGGCTATCCGAGTACAGAACCAGAGTACGAAACCTATCCAATTGCAGAGAGGTGTAAGACAGGGTGACGTCATATCCCCGAAACTCTTTACCGCTGCATTGGAAGATGTTTTCAAGCTTCTGGACTGGAAAGGATACGGTATCAACATCAATGGCGAGTACATCACTCACCTTCGATTTGCCGACGATATAGTCCTTATGGCAGAATCGCTGGAGGACCTAAGCACTATGCTCAATGACCTCAATAGTGTTTCCCAACGGATAGGTCTTAAGATGAACATGGACAAAACAAAGATCATGTTTAATGTCCATGTCACACCTATGCCGGTAGTTGTTGGGAACACTAAGCTCGAAGTTGTTGACGAGTATGTTTACCTGGGACAAATAGTCCGACTAGGTAAGTCCAACTTCGACCGAGAGGTCAATCGACGGATTCAACTCGGTTGGGCAGCGTTCGGGAAATTACGGCACATCTTCTCGTCAGGTATACCTCAAAACTTGAAAACGAGACTGTACACCCAGTGCGTGCTGCCAGTGATGACATACGGAACTGAGACGTGGTCCTTCACTGCTGGCCGGATGAAGAAGCTCAAGGTCGCTCAGCGAGCTATGGAGAGGGCTATGCTCGGAGTTTCTCTGCGTGATAAACTCAGAAATGAGGATATCCGCAGTAGAACTAGAGTGACCGACATAGCCCAACGGATTAGTAAGCTGAAGTGGCAATGGGCCGGCCATATAGCTCGAAGAACCGACAACCGATGGAGAAGAAAGGTTCTCGAGTGGCAGCCTCGTACCGGCAGGCGAAGTGTAGGGCGTCCCCCCACTAGATGGAGTGACGACCTGGTAAGATATGCAGGAAGTCGATGGATGCAGGTGGCTCAGGACCGTGCTTTGTGGCATTCTTTGGGGGAGGCCTATGTTCAGCAGTGGACTTGTGAAGGGCTGTAATGATGATGATGAATGTTTACTTGAGCATTGTTTGTTATTTCTATCGTAAAATATAAAGTAGTTTGTAACAAAAAAACTTAAGCTAAGGGTGACACGCTGTCCATTATGACGTCTTGGGTCACATGGAAGCCAGATGTTGATGGTGTGTTGGTGTTACTGGATGCTACTTCATCATCACTTTCATCTTCGCTTGAGCTTCCGTCATCAGGTCGATCACATGGTAATTTTTTCGGTATTCTTCCTCAACAATTTTAACTTTACTGCACAATTTTCCCCATTCACCTTCTCCTATCATATTTACCTTTTCGTTCACTAGTTTAGTCATAAAACAATAGATATAAATAATTTTTTTTCCTTCCTTTTTAAAACATCGTCGCGAGTCGCAAAGTAAGCTGTGTATGCGACTGTATTTTTGGAGCGAACAAAGCGCGGGAACCAATAGCATGCAGGCACAGTAATACTGGCCAATATGTGATAAATCGCTCAGTGCCCAAGTTCAAGGCCAGCGTTCTTTTTTCACCGTTCGCGCGTACATTAACCTCCATTAGTCAGGTGATATCAATTCAGTTTCCACTGCTGGTTTTATGTTTCAGTATTTTTATGATTTTTTTTATGAAATTATCGTTTCATTTAGCTGTACTAACATGATGGCGCGTGAATAAAGCTAATAAAACGTTGTAAAAATATGTTTTTATTTTCATCAGGATCAAAGTTATTTATGACCCATGATCAAAGGTATACTTGGTGCTGTCGCCTGTCTTAGTTTTCGGGAGCGTTCCAAAAATACCCTGTATATATATATATATATATATATATATATATATATATATATATATATATATATATATATATACAAATATATATGCAGGCATCTGTATATATGTATCTGATCGTTGACGGTTATCTTTACGTGGGACAAATAGTCCGACTAGGTACTTAGTCGGACTATTTGTCTGATCCAAATCGACGGATTCAACTCGGCTGGGCAGTGTTCGGGAGATTACGAACCATCTTCCCGTCAGGCATACCTCAAAACCTCAAACCTATATTGTACAACCAGTGCGTGTTGCCGGTGATGATCTATGGATCTGACACATGGTCCTTCACTGCTGGTCGTATGAGGAAGCTCAAGGTCGCTCAGCGAGCTATGGAGAGGGTTATGCTCGGGGTTTCTGTGCGTGATATACTTTGAAATAAGGATATCCGCAGTAGAACCAGAGTGGCTGACATAGCCCAACAAATGAGTAAGCTGAAGTGGCAATGGGCCGGCCATATAGCTCAAAGAACCGACAACCGATGGGGAAAAAGGTTCTCGAGTGGCGGCCTCGTACAGGTAGGCGAAGTGTAGGACGACCCCCCACTAGATGGAGTGACGACCTGGTGAGACTGCAGGTGGCTTAGAACAGTGTTTTGAGGCATTCCTTGCGGGAGGCCTATGTTCAGCATTGGACTTGTAAAGGGCTGTAATGATGATAATGATGAAGAATCAATATACAGATGCGTTGTTACCCCTGAGGACTAAGCTACAATGCCTCGTTTTCAGTGTAAAAAGGGTCTGCGATGCAGCAGCGAGTGTATGCTTGCAAAACGACCTACCTCCCTAGAAAACGAGAGAAGAAACATCAGTGGATTAAAGACGATGTCCTCGAGTTTTTAAATTTATCTCATTTAAATCTTTAAATTGCAATTACTAGATATTTTTATTCTTCAAGCTACTTAACGTTATAGTACTAGTAAACATGATACGTGTTATTATGCCAATTATTTTTACGATGCGCATTGAGGCAATCCGCCGTGAAGGTCAGTTGACCGACGTGAGGTATCACAGGTCGAAGTCCAGCACTAAATAACAATTCGCATTGTCTACCACACATGATCACTGTACGTCCTAATTAGGGTTGCCAGTCTTAAGTATTCTTCTATATTAGGAGTCCGTATACAATAATAATAAAAATAGATACGTTATAGTAGGCGAAACTGTATTTTAAACAAAATACTAGATTTTGTTAAAGGCTGATTATTTTATTATTTTTTTTACATATGAGTAGACAGTCTACCTGACGGTAAGTGGATGCTGTGGCCCATAACAGGCCTCTGTCATTCTTCCTATCTGCGTGATTTAAATGGCTACAATCGCGCGGAACCACAAGCTACTATCGCAGTCAGGCCTAGCGCGTTTTAGGCGAGCGGCGAAGTAGTGAATTTCAAAGATTTTTAATACTGTTTACGTTAATAGATTTTTTGTACACACTTGTATAAACATTTTGTTTATTGTTTAATATATTCAGTTATAGGATAAAAGAGTTATATAAGTTATCGTGCATTTTATAGGTTTATTTATATATTAATTTTAAAAACATAATAATGAAAAATTTTAACTTATTTTTTTATCATAATTTACAAGTGGCTAGTTCTAAAAACTTTCAGTGTCGCCCTCGTAGATGCTGCGTACTTCGATTTAAAAAAAAATCATTTGACCTGGTCGACAATGATATCTTGTTACGTACATTGGCGATGATGGCCTTTGCCCCAAAACTTGTCGAGTTTTTTCAAATTACCTACGTGATCGGCGTTAGTTTGTTAGAGTGAGTGCATTTGAGTCTAGTGACTATTACACAAGATCTGGGATGAGTTAGGAAAGTACATTGGGGCCATTGCTTTTTCTTATTTTCATTAATGACTTACCGAATAGCGTAATTTCCTCTAAATGTCTGTTGTTCGCGGATGATCTTTGGAAATTAAGCCTAGTAGATGGCCTGTCTAACTGCGAGGCATTGCAAAGAGATATCGGTGCGGTTTTGGATTGGAGCGTATTAAATCATCTTCCCTTTAACACGTTCGCTGCGACACAAGGCTTATAGGTCTGATACATGAACTTGCAGTCGGTGCGGAGCGAAAATACAGCGTTCTCCCTCTGGTGCGAACGCAGTAACTTAAAGATTTCTCTATAAGTGATAAAGACAAGTATATATTTAAGATCGTCTTTTCAATGGCTATTCATTTAAATAATAATATTTGTATCAGGCCTATCGACCTTATACCGCACTGGAGAGTAGAAATTGACATTCAGTGCGGATACAAGGCCCATAGGCCTTATGGGAAGTACAACGCCTAACTGCCTAATACCGCACTGATTGAAGAGTTAAAATTATTTAGTGTTGTGTTGACAGCTTTTACAAATGCATGTGCGTACGATTCATAAAAAATGCATCGAGTCAATAAACGTTGTCGAAAAATGCTCGAGCTGTCTTTTCAAAATGCTCAAGAAGTGGTGGACCAAAATAACAGTGCCAGCTTACAAGAAAAAAAACAAATTCAAATCCTTCAGGATGTTATTGTTAAGCCAGCTTCTACAAGCAGTGAAACTACAACTTTTCAAGAACCTCGCTGCAGTTCATCTATTGCTTTTCAAGAACCTAGCTTCAGTTCAACTTTACACGATAGCTCAATGCGGGTAAGTCCTCAAGTTAGAAAGACTTATTTAGACTTTACGCCTAAAAGAAAGAAAATACAAAAATCAGAAAACGATGTTTATGTTAGTCCTAGTACTGGCAATACTCTTCATGTACTGGAAAACGCTGAATACGGACTTGCAACTCCTATCCGCAAATATTATAATTTACGAAAAGAACCCCAGTAACTCCGAACGTATCAAATCTTACAAGCAGGACTAGTTCTATTAGTGACATTTCATGTGCAAAATCCTTATTATGCCCACTATCCAACGAGGATATCTGTGCAATATATGACACCCAAACGCAGAATAATCAAAGTTCATTGACAAATTTGAATATTTCTACAATTTATGGTAAAGATTTAAATCCAGATGCATCTAATAACAATTATACTCCCAACCCTTCCGAGAAAATCTGTGCAATATATGACACTCAAACGCAAAATGAACAAAGTTCATTAACATATTTGAATATTCCTGCAAATTCTGCTAAAGATTTTGAACCCGATTCATCTGATGATAATTATGCTCCCAACTCGTCTGACCTAGAAACTGATTCTTCTTACTCCGACGATAGTGATGGTGATGATAGCGTGATAACTTACTATGAAAACAGTTCTGAAATCGAATTAGTTCAAATACTTGAAAATACTCAATGTACAGAAAACAATAATTTTGACGAGTGGGAAGACATTAACGATAAAAAACCTGATTTCGATGAATTCACAGATAATTGTAGACCAAACATTCCGGATAATACTATAACGCCAGCAGATTTTTACAGTCTATTTGTAACGGATGAAATTATTGAGCAAATGGTAATAAACACAAACAATTACGCACAAGATCTTATTAGTAATCTAAGTAATCTTAAGCCTAAATCACGCTTGCGAGCCTGGACTCCTACAACTCCAGAGGAGATGAAAAAATTTTTAGGAGTGCTACTGGCGATGGGTCTTGTAAGAATACCACGTTTAAATGATTACTGGTCGAAAAGAAACATCTACAATAATAAATACATTAGTTCAGTTATGACAAGAGATCGATTTCTGCTAATTTTGAAATTTTGGCATTTTAGTCAAGAGTCACCTAACGACACAGACAAATTGAAAAAGATAAGGGATACTTTTAATAAGATTTTAGAAAAAATGCAAACCCTTTTGGAGCCAGGTCGGTATCTTATCATAGATGAAAGTATGATTCCGTGGCGAGGGAGGTTGAAATTTCGCCAATACATTAAAAACAAGTCCCACAAATATGGAGTGAAACTATATAAGCTCTGCACTCCAGAAGGATACACAAGAAACTGTATTATATATACAGGTAAAGGAGATAATGGTCGAGAAACTAATCATGGAAAGGAAACAGTATTAAGATTAATAAAAGGATTAGAAAATAATGGAAGAATAATAATAACAGATAATTTCTACAATTCCATTGATCTTGCGGAAGAACTTATACGTAAAAAAACCTTCATGTGTGGTACCCTGAGACCAAATCGGAAAGGAAATCCTAAGAAAATAATATCCATAAAATTGAAACGAGGTCAAATAGTAGGAAAAATGAACCCAAATGGGGTAAGAGTTATAAAGTGGTTCATATGATTTCTACGTGCCGAAATCACAATTTGACTCTTAAATCTACAGGTACGTATTACATATGTGTCATTTTAGATAAGGATGTTAGTTCATTTTTTCTGTTTTATTTATTTATAGAAGAAGTAGCATTACAGTTGGCACTAAAGCATTATAACTAGCTATTTACATAATTATTTAAATGAAAAAATTAAAAATACATATGACGCAAAAATAAAAACAAAATATAACTAGGTAAAAATTTGAGAAATTAGGAGTATTTTTTATAAATTAACTAGTATCCGCCCGCGATAAAATCTACAAATTTTGAGAAATTTAATTTGAATAAATTTATAGATACACTGTATCTACCAATATTTTAACTTGTATTTATCTCATTTTCAGGTAAGACGAACCGAATCACTGGAAACATAATTAAAAAACCACAATGCGTCATAACATACAATGAGAATAAAAAAGGCATCGATTTTAACGACCAAATGTCTTCATATTATTCTAGCTTGAAAAGAGGCGTGAAATGGTTCAGAAAAGTAATGATGGATATATTATTTGGAACAGTCATAATAAACAGCTGGGTATTATACAATCACGGAAAACCAGTTCAAATGCCAAAGAAGAATTTTATGGAAGCAATTATTGAAGCTTTGACTCAGGTGCCGATATTAACAGAAACAGGTAATATATTTTTCCGTAATATTTAGCACTAGGTAAAGATATTCTGTCTGAGAAAAAAAAATAACTAAAAATGATAATAAAATACTTAACTGTAATTTAATACTGATACAATAACCTTATATTTTTTTCTCGGAGCAAGCTAGTTTTTATTAGTTGTTAAGTTTTAAGATAAAGTTAACTTTAAAATAGCAACAATCACACACGGCGTTTCCTCTCTTGGTTTATTATTTAATTTGTTTCTTTTATTACAGCTAATGAATGTGCTGCTATGCCAAAGACGAATCATACCTTCGAAAACAAAGGGATAAAAAGAAGAAACTGTGCGGGTTGTTACAATAAGCTTCGTGCAACGTTAAATAGCAAAGATGCTCAAAGAAAAACCAAAAAAATTAAATCGTATTGCGGTGAGTGCAACAAGGGATATTGCGCTAAATGTTTTTACGAAAATCATCTATAACAGATAACAGTTAATAATAAAATAAAGTTGATCTCGATATTTCTGTACTTATGTTATTTCCCATCACTAAAATTATCCCAATTATACCATTACCTAGGTGCGGTAATGGGTCGATAAGCCTTATGTTTGTTTTTCTGTATATTTTCTAAATAAGTCATCGGAGCAATTTGCGACGCTAGTATAAGATAGGCTTACCTTTTCTCAATAACCTAGTTAAAAAAAATATTCAATATCAAAAGTTTTCGCAGAGTTATTAGAGTTTGAAGTGACCCATATCTTACCAGGTTTATTGACCCATTGACGCACCGGTGAAAAGTTTAGGTATAAGGCCTATAGACCTGGTAACGCACTGGGGGAATAATGTCTCAAATAGTTGCCGCAGCGAACGTGTTAATGATAATAAATGTAAAATAATAACATTCACGCGTAAACGCTATCCACTAAATGAAGAATATAATTTATTTGACACGTCCTTAGAAAGGGTAAGTGTAATTCGTGATTTAGGATTAGACGTTAAACTTGAATTTTATAACCATATAACTACTTCATTATTCGCACTTCTTCACAGTTCGAAGGAATAGGGGTTGCTTTGGTACTTTACAATGCATATGTTCGAAGTAAGTTTGAATAATAATAATAATAAAGAGTTTTATTTGTCTCAATTCAAACATGGTAGTTAAGTGTACTAAAAAAAATATCACAAACTTATCTAGAAACATGCTTAAGTAAAAACATACATAAAAACAATGAGACAAACTGGCCTGTGACTCAGCTATGTGGTGATTTGAGGTCACCGCTAGTATTCTGCCACAGCCAACTTTTAAAAAACACAGTAGCTTAACATAACAACCTAAAGAAAAGGCTGAAATGTATAAACATAATATGTGCTATGTAAATCGGCAAATTTATATAATATGATACTTAATACCTGCCTCCAATTTTTGTTGTTCAAGTAACCATACCTTTGCATTTCTTTCTAAATGTTTTTGTATTCACGATCTCCTGTAAAGGAGGAGGTATATTATTACGAATTTTGGAGGCAGCATATTTGAAATATCCCTTCGCTTTAACACGCTTATAAGTTGGAATTATATATAATAGTTTATCCTTTTTGTCTAAAACGTATTATTTGACATTTTGGAGATAATTTTTGATATAAATAATGAGGAGATTGCGAATTATTTAACGAGTGTACGAAACAAGCATATTTTAGTTTTCTGGTGTAACCCATACTTAAAATATTATTTTTGAGGAGATAAGGAGTTATGTGGTAGGTCTTAGGTATGTCAAAACAATAACGCATACACGCATTTTGAACCCTTTGTATTCTTCCTATAGTTTTCTGTGAAAGGCAAGGACCATATACCAAGTCGCAATAATGTAAATGTGACAAGACCAGACTGTTGCAAAGACGGAGCCGAATATTTGGTTTTAGGAAAGAACGAATTTTGTAAAGAGATTTTAAAGATGCAAAACATTTTCCTATTTTTTGCTGTACGTGTTGTTCAAACGTTAAGCCTTCATCCATGTTAAGGCTTAAGTTACGAATACAATCATTTCGAGCAATAGTTGCGCCACTGTGATCATGATAGTTGGATCAAGTTTTTTGATAGATGCAACCTGATGACGTGTACCCATAATTATACAAGTACTTTTTTTTAGGATTCAGTAGTAGGCCATGAGACTTTGACCAATGCTTTATTAATTTTAGATCATCATTGAGGCTAAGAATACGGTGCCATTGTATGGAATCCCTATGAGGAGAAATTTATTTTGATGATGGGAGTGTACAAAGCAGAATAACGGTTATTACCCGTATCTATATCCGTCCTTATTTGTTACTGGTATGGTGGGTTTGGACACAAACTTAGGCGGACTATGCAGTTGATAACATACTGGCCGACGATATTAAGCAGTGGGGTTGTCGGGTCGAAGCGGCGGCACGCGGTTGGCGGCAGATGTGAGACGTGCTCGCACATTACGCGACTAACTTATTTGCTGATAGCTTTAGGGCGGATTCGACCAAACTTAGTATAAGTCTTATCCTGAGAATAAAATCACTAATTACTCTCGAGATTTTTCGAATTTTCGTTTTACCAAATATTAACCCATGTATAACTGTCTATCCGAGAGTAAATTGTTATACCGCCAAAATTCATGGAGTAAACAAGTTATCCCAGAGTATTTTAATGGCGGCCGCTACATTTTAACAGCTGTTTTCGTATGCTTTGTTGAAAATGTAAGATATTTTATCGTTGTGCAATTATAATTTCTTGTATCTTTGTGATAATTGTAGGGATTATTTTTTGAAATAATGCAACATTTACGAAATATAGAAGATAAGAATAAGATTAGAAGAATAATGAACTAACAACTCGACTCGTGTTAATATTCTAGTCTTCAGTGACAGTCGACACCATCTGTGGTCGACACTAATATAATCCGGCAAAACTAAGTGGACAGAAAATCTTGCCTTGAGCTATATAAACAATTGTATTTCGATTTTAGTCGGCTTACACGTTCATTCATTTTTCATTCACCAACTCTAGAGTAACAATACCCAGTATTAGCTACTCTATGTTTGTGTTGGAAAAACACAAATTAAGTTATCTGAGAGTAAGACCAAAGAGTAAAATTATTCAAGGGTTAGTGGGTTAGTTACTCTGGAGTAACATGTTACGAGGGCGGCACTGAAAATTTCGGTAATCAAGGAAGTGACACAACATTACTATTTAAAAATGTATTTATTGCTTTTCGAAGTATTCTCCGCGAAATTTGACACATTTTTCCATACGATGGAACCAATCATTAAAGCAACCATTCCATTCGGAAGTTGGGGTCTCCAAAATGGCTGTTTTGTAGGCGTCCACAGCTTCTTCAGGTGATGAAAATCTCTGTCCACGCAATTTATTCTTTATTTTAGGGAAAGTATAGAAATCGTTAGGGCTTAGGTCGGGGCTGTACGTCGGATGGTCTAATAATTCTATGTTTTCTTGCTCTTAAAACTCTTTTGTTCTGTGTGCGGTGTGAGAACTCGCATTGTCGTGATGGAGGATGATGCGGCGGTTGCAGTTCTCTTTACGGAGTTCAGAAACGACCAGTGGCAAACAAATGCTAGCATACCATTCTGCATTAACCGTTCTTTGTCCCTCAAGAGGAACAGTCGTAACATGGCCGGTTTGGAGACAAACGTGGCCACCATTTTTTTTGCAACACTCCGTGAACGAACAATTTTTGTTGGCTTTAACTCATTTTCGAACACTCAAACTCCTGACTGGTCTTTTGTTTCGGGTTCGTACGCGTATATCCAGGATTCGTCACCTGATACGATGTTGTATACAGCATTTGAGGATCGTGCGTGGAATCTTTCGAGAGTTCTGACGCACCAAGTAACGCGAGCCGCTTTTTGCTCTTCACAGAGCGAATGCGGTATCCATATGGAAAACAAGTTTTTTACACCTAATTGTTCATGCAAGATTATTTGTATTTGACTCATGCCAATGTCTAAAGTTGCCTGAATTTCGCGGTATGTCACATGTCGATCTTCCTCAATCAGCTTATGCACAGCATCAACGTTTTCTTGGGTAACTGCAGTTTTTGGACGACCTTGACGGGGATCATCACTGAGCTTGACACGTCCACGTTGAAATTCACAAACCAGCGATAAATTGTGGTTTTGGATGGGGCTTCATCACCAAATGCAGCATCAACTTCGAAAGTCATAATAAATCATCGCTCTTGAATTTTCTCGAGTCAATTCCATTTTCTCAACGACTAAACAAGTTTGACAAAACCTTGTGACAAGACCGACAATCTTTTTTTAAATAAATAAATGGTATTCGATTTTTAAAACCAAGGAGTTTTCAATTAAAAAGATTTTAATATGACAGGAACAGTGGAAATATTCCATTCCCGATACTTTTAGTGCAGCCTATGTGTATTTGGTCGAATCCGCCCTTAGGCGACTATGTAAAAAAGCCCTTCTATTTTTGACATTTTTTTTATAGGATAAGGGTGACAAACGAGCACACAGTCCACCTGATGGTAAGTGCTGTGTCCCATAGACATCTACATTTATCCTCGATTACGAATCAAAATGCGTTGTCACCCGTGAGGACTAAGATAGAATGCCTCGTTTCCAGTAAAAAGGGTCTCCGGTTCTCTACACTCACCATACGAAACACAGCAGCGTTAAGCTGCTATTTTACGCTGGTATTCTGTGAGAGCGTGGTCCTTCCCCGGTCGAGCCGACCCATTCGTGTTACAACTATACCAGACATATAGCTGCAGCATGGCTCTACCACGTATAAAATTGTATTGTAATATATTAATTTAATCTTAGGTTAGTTAATTTGAGCGTGACATTTTGCTTAATCTATTTGACACTCTTAATCTATTTGGCATTTATTTTTTAAATTTATTTGGACATGTATTTTTTAATTTATTTGACCTTTTTGACATGTATCATATACTATTACTTATTATTTAAAACTGTAATTTATAAATTAGCATGCTGACGTTTTGAGCATACTGTAAGCCAGCATATACAGTTTTAAAATAAATAAATATACAATCTGGAACTTTTTTGTACTTAAACTTGGTCCGGTTTTTCGTTTACGTTCATGATTTATGTTTTAAATAATTTTGAACTAAAGCAAATAGCGTGACCGTGAGTCACGGTTAGGTGGGTAATAAAACTACAATTTTTAACGAAATTATTTTAATCATCACAATAATACAGACTAACTCGTTTGTAATCTTCACTGTCAACTTAAGCCTAACTTACAAGTAATTAAATCTAAATGGAAACGTTGAGCGCACGCGGCTTATGCCTAGTGTCTATATTTTAAAACGCTACGTTTTCTTTTACGAATCGTTTTTCAGTAAATGAAGTGCATGAAACCCCATTTTTAAAACAAAATGCCAGTTCAGCTAATTATGAACCGTTCAGCTATTTTCATTTTAAGTCATCCTAAGCAGCTGAATGAATAGTTTGTAATATAAACTGCTTTTGCATGCACACCGTATGTGATACAAC